TGTCATTTACAACCAAGAAATGTCATCCTTTAGATGAAGTTGCTCTATACAAAAAAACCTAGTAGAACTCTACAGCTGTCTCATTCTTGCAAGAAATTGGCAGCGGTACACAATCCCACAAATCTTCATGAAAATTCCAATTCACGAGCTCCTTCATAGTGATTGAAAACTAAGCCGCTCACTCGCGGGTGGCTGATCAGAAGTGTGATTGACTCGCACCTGGACGGGATACGGCGCCAGTCATCCTTCAGTCAGCCAATCATAAGTAGCTCACATCGTCATCCGGGGAGCCAGTCAAGTGGTAAATCCCGTGATTGAAGGATGATTCTTTCTCAGTACGAGTTCATCACATTGTTGATCAGGCGTTCGTTCGGCTAAGTCTTCAGCCGCCTGCCTGGAGACCGGCAGCCATTTGAATCTCCCTGAGGATTCGTGAGATACGCATTGCTAATGATTCTTAACAATGATGAAGCGCTTGTACATTGTCTTTATAGTTTCCGGCATATATTAACTTCAGCTACAGGACGAAATCTCGGTTGAAACATTCCCGCATCTCCCCTAAATATCGACGAATGTGAATCGTACGTGTAGAAATATCCATGTGAGACTGCCATTTTCCAGGTACCTCAAAGACTGTGCATGTGGCATGATAAGGTATACAGAAAATCCTCAGATCGTCGTGCAGTGTTGCAAGGCTGTGTACTACAATCAACTTGGAAAAGACGGATCCAGCTTATGAAGCAGCCACACCTGAGGTAGACAGTCCCTACTGACGTTAACTACTTCCTTGTGGAACGGACAGCGGACGATCGGTATGGAGTGAATTCATGGCGCGTTTAGGAACTTCTGAACAAGCCGCTTTCAGGAAACTACGTATCAAAAAGTGTACTTTTCTCAATTTCCTCGACACGCAGTCAAAGGGTAAAACTCCCCCCCCCCAAAGATGAGTAGACACCGCCGGGAGCAGGTAGTTGTGTAGTTTTTCAGCTATACCACAGGACAAGAAAGAAATACAGAAACAACAGGCATCTTTGCCTGCCGACTGGTCACAGGGGTACATACGCACACAGACATGCTGCTTCTCAGTGACCAACACTGCACTGACAGACAAATCGTTTTGTCATGTATTCATGTCACTTTACCACTGCCGCTTTCCACGTGATACGTGGCGCAAGCCAGTTATCGTCATATTGATTTCGCTTATCATACCATGCGTAGTTGAATACTATCTGCATGTCATAGCAACGTGAGTCCAGTATGAAAGTTGAGAAGCACTCTGTTTCGTCCTTGCTGGGAGTCATCACTGGTGCTCGACTCACGGATCCCTTGGAGGATTTGGTCCCGAAAGCTCCCAGTTATCAGCTGAACACAATGCCACTCCGTCAAATGTGGGTGATCAGCAGTGTGCCAACACCCACTTAGATAGAGTACGACATCACTCTTCCCCCATCCACGTTGTTTGGTGCTACCAGGAGTGGTGCGGGTTCAAATCTCTTGAGAGATTTGTGAGATCCGCACTTCTAATGAGTCCGAACGGGGTTACAACAACCGATCCATGATACTCAACTTCTCAGCCTAGATTTACTTTACTCACATAATAGAATCTCATTTGATTTATACCATTTGTCCCTGTTCTGTCGAAAACAGTGCATGCGAAGCTATGTGTACGCATTTTGACAATTATGAGTGATTTATGATGGCATGCAGCTACGGCTCACTGTGTGTGAACTAAATTCAGGCCATTAGATTTTGCACAAGGGTATGTCAAAAACCCGTTTGGTTGATGAAGTATCATTCCAATCCGTGCTGAAGAATGTTTCAATTTGGAAAACGCACCAGTGCGTAAATGGACCTCGGGAGTCGATCGCGAATAGGTTCGTACTGTTGTTCAGTAAGAAGAACACTGCGTTTCTACTGAAAGGCATTTGTGGATCAGTAAGCTATTCGCTGAATCTTCGCGTTAAATGGCAGTTTCGCTTCAAAATCGGGCCCTGAACATACATGCAAATAAAGTGTAAAGCAGAGAGCTAGTTGCTCAGTGTTCTGGGACATGTATCTGAGGGCTTACAAGCTAATCTACACCTCTAGCCGGATGTGTACAGTTCACTTCAGTCTACCATCTGCAGTTCATGTACCAAAGGTACACTGATCCCAGTTGCTACAGTTTCGATCACCGGAAAGTGGGAGAATATGGGTCATAGAGCCAAGAATTGGAGGCAGTGGCATATTTAATTTAGTCCGGAAACTGGGTAGCTACGCTTTGGAGGCGATACCTTTGATGCATGAGCGCCACTGACTGCGCGATTGGATCATTTCTGTCAGTGTCATTAACCATTGGCGAGATGAGCTCCAAGGACCCCATCAATGAGGGCAGCAGTTTGCGATCGGACTGATTTGGCTGGTTAGAGTTGTCATACTTCATTGCCAGGCCGCATACTGTCTACCTTTTTGGTTGCTTCCACTCAGCACGGTGCTCAGTGAAAGGAGCTCTGAAAGGGAGACGATCCTCTGGCATCCTGAGTATATGTCCTAACAGCGTAACCAGTGTAACATGAGTAATTCAACCATCGTGGAAGAGTCTTTTTCATAAAACTATCTGGCATGCCACAGCATTGCTGACCCGATGTTCCTACCAAACCTGATCAATGTTTCACTGATAGTCAAACACCTGCAACTTTAGTATGCCCTCTGCGCGTGTAGACCACGTTTCTGATCCATAAGGCAATATGGATCGTACTGCTGCAGCATACTCTGCGCTTGACAGACAAACTGATACCACGCCGGTACCATAGGTTTGGTGAAGGCTGCTCTGGCCTTTCAGATACGGGGAGTAATCCCATCTCCACTCAATTCACCAGAACTTGTGTGACGTTGATTAGCTACAAGCATGAGGTTAAGTTTTGATCCCATCAAATCTTGTGGCAGAATTTAACACTTCGCGAGTGCAAAAAGCATACCAAGCCATGCGTTAGAATCACTAAGGTTATTCAAAATCGTCTGCATTTTTCACGGACCTGAACCAAGGAAAGCAATATCTTCTGCATGCTCACTGTCCGTGAGCGAAGGTCCCTGGAGCATTTCAGCCTCCGAAGTTTCAGAGGCAAGCAGAGTAAGTTCAAGCACCACGTCAATAACAAATTTTCAGATGAAAGGTGCGAGAGGGCATCCTTGTCCCACACCACTGGATGCGGTTTACTCGTGTGAAAGCTTGCGGTGTATCAGCACACGCAGTCCTCATAAGGGAAATAAATTCTGATCGCTTGACAGCGCTAAAGTTTCTGACGATCAGCAGAGTCAGAAGCATCTTCCAGACCAAGAAGAACGGCCAACGGGGGGCGTTTTAAAGAGTGGTGCGGTTCAATGACTTATAAAGAGGTAAAGATATGGTGATGCATCCTCGGCCAGAGGGAAACCCAGCTTAATTTTAATGAATCAGTCTTTCCCGGTAATCGCTCAACCTGCACAAAATTTCAGAGGGCATCTCAGATGCCACAACGGCATTCGCCTTACTTTTTGTACTCTTTTTGGAGACTATGACAATGATCTAGGCGCTCCATTCTAGTGGTAGTCTACTTTTGTTTTAAGACCGTTTGTTTGTCAGCCCGTTCACCATGACCTCGCCTCCTTTGAACATTGTGGGGTGCAGACTATCCGGGCCGGATGCGTTGTCGCGTTGAAGGAGTGGTATATCAGGCTGGATTTCTGTTGCAGATGGCGGATTGGTGTCAGTGTTCTATTCAGGTTAATAGGTTCTTCCAGCCTTTCTGTTGAAGAAGACCAGTTGAACTTTTCTTTGCAGTGTTCATCCCATCACTCAGAAAGACGGTGTGATCGAATTACGGTTCCATCGTTTACACATATTGTTTCGCCGACACTTGTCTACTTTTCGCCAGTTGATCAAATCAGCCAAAATGGGACGCGGCTGTTGACTGCTGTGAACGCCTTATCCATCTCCTGGACCATCGCGCTTCACCAGTGCTCTCCGTCATTCTTCAAGCTTGTGATTATCCGGTGTCTGAGGGATCTGCGTGTGCTATCATAGTCTCTAGTTTCGAGCACGGCCATTCTGACAGGAATAAGGCCTGATGATCTCGACGATATCCGGTGTTCACTTAGTCGAGTAAGGTGGCCTAGACAGAGAACTCTGAAAGCTGACAACATTGCTTCTTTAACTCACCTCCATTCATCCTCCAAGAAATCTTCGTCGTCCACATGAATGTGCGTTTCCAGTAGCTTTCTAGTCAGATCAGCTCGATGCTCCTCAGCTACCAAAACTTGTCGACGTTGAACGGAGCTGCTCTCTTTCGGCACGCGTAGTAGTAGCTGACGGAAAGCGAATAGCTAAGCGGACTGATCACGATGACGTGATCAGACTCAAGTTGCGTACCTCAGAATGAACGAAAATCCTAAACCTAGGCTCTCCATCGGCCTGGTTTCTTTTTCATCGAAGATCTGTCTCCTGGTTGCGAACTTCGGAGAGTGTGAACGTCATTTCGCCTCCTTTTTGGACAGCCTTATTCATGTTTGTGCTTCTGTTGTGTGGGACAGATTTCCACAATTCCCATGTACTTGTACAAAAAACTGAATTACCCCTGTGAAAACCTACTGACGCGCAAAACTGCACATGTTGGGTAGCTTGTTTATTGGGAGGCCGTTTCCGACGTCGATGATAACGAGGAACACTCTTGTTTGTTTTTATCGCATTCGATGTTGCACACCATTACCTCAGCAAGTGACAATCACTTCATATGATGGGTTAGCCCATTCAGTCTATTCTTATGGATCGTCCGTTTAATGGACAGGCGTTTTCGAGGGCTGCACGCTTCCTCCAGGGTTTTTTCGAATACTGTTAAGTGAATTTTTATGCAAGATTCACACCCATTACCTAAATGTAACCTGACATGCAGATGGTATAAGTCTGTAAATGTCGTTGTACACGCCCTTTCTGTGTAGATGAGTGCACTTACTTCACCGTTCCTTCTTTTTTTTCTTTTTCGCAGTCCACGTGATTACATACCCCCGTTCAAATCTTCTGTGCGCTCTAGTAATCGGACGAAACGGAGGGCGGGGTTGTCTGGCGGCTACAAACAGCCCTGTGATTCTCTGGGCCCCACTGCCGACGTTACAGGAAAATCACTAGCTACAGTCAGCGGGAGGACGAGACTACGCGGGCGAAACAGCAATTCACCACTGAATAGGCTGTCAATGCCCGCGACGACGACAACCACAACCAACATACTTGTTACAACTACCTCGTCAGACTCCTGTGCAACAAACTCTGTTGGAACCCTGTCGTCTTCTGATAAAAAGAAGACGGATGGGGTGAGTATTTTGGAGTCAGGTGTGGATGAAGATGACACAGCAGTGGGTCTTCCACTTTCTGAAGACGAATCAGCGGTGGACTCATCATCCAGTCACCTGGGTCCAGTCAAACAATGCAGCACGAAACGTGGCGCCAGTAGTTCGTCCAGTGATTGTCCTCTGGATAATTTACCAGAGTCCTCGGAGGCACAGGATACAAGTACATTTACCGAACAACTTCATATTCATGGTATACAGTCATCTGCCCTTGACAAGCCATGGCAGTCCGGAGGTGATAGTGTTCCCAATGAAAACAGCAAGAAGGAAAGTGGTGAATCGACTGAACGTGAGGACGAAGATCTCAAATCATCTTTTCCCATCACTTGTCCTATACAAGGGTGTAAGAAACGCTTTACCCACATGACTGCATTACGTTTCCACCTTAATCATACAAGACATGAGAGTGCTCCATCAGACAGTGGCTATGAAAATCTGTCTACCTCACTCGCAAACCGGGATGTTAACTGTATACCACGCATTAACGATTCACCCCCAACCATCTCACCACCATGTCCAAGAAGTCCCGTCTCTCCTGTTCGCTCTCCAGCCATCTTACAGCCTGATCTGCCCCCAAATTCCGCTGCCTCTCAAGACAGGACAAATTCCGTGACAGACACAACAGCCTTCGATGTTGCTGAAAGTCATAAAACAACAAGTGGGAGTAAACACGATGTTTCAAACTTATCGAGGCCCCACGAAACACAGGGATTATTTTCAAAACCATACACAACGTCATCCAACACATCCGGATCAGGTCACGATTCCGCCGGACCAAATACCTCTACCATTCGGACGGTTACGGCACATACTGTTTCAATTCCATATGGAAGCACAAACAAAACCGACCTGCTTGGGTCAGGTTCCACGAGACTTGGGTTGGGATACTCGAACCCAAGTAAACAGCGCACAAACTCTGGTGCTCGTGGTGACATCAATAAAGGACGAGGCCAGCATCACAAATTTATCAGTCCAAACATGAAACCAACAGAGTTACCCACCAGCCCCTCAAGACAACCCCAACAAATGAACCCATCAAAGAGCTTTTTGGATTCTCACAGTTTACCACCTTTCCTTCCGCCTTCGGTACGACATAATGGTGCACCTGTTGATGCCCCTACTGTATCCCAGATGGTAAACAGCCTGGCCTTCATGTCACGTGATCTGAACAGCGGACACGTTCCAATAAACAACCCGTTTGTACCACTTCCTCCGGGAGTCTGGAACTTTTCACCCCAGTCTAGTGGTTATTCTATGGGTGAACGATCCAATTCGGTCAAGCACCATGATTCTGATCCACGACGTGCCATTGAGGGTCTTCACTCGAATGGTGATGCTCTTGTCCCAAGCCATACACCTCCTAACCAGCCCTCATGTAGTTCGGCGATGAACTTAACTAACTATGTTTCTAGTGTCTCATCCGTGAACCCAACTGTTGAGGGCAGCCATCCCCAGTTTGCCAATTCCCATACAGGACGAACGCCTATCCCACCTCTTATGGACCCTTCACACCTCTACGGATTGCCTGATTTCATTGTTGCAGCGGCGATGAACGCATTGCACTCGAATGGTTTTTCCAACTTAACCGAAGCATCTCGCCCTTATTCGGCCTCCAGCAACGCAGCACTATCCAAGACTACCCCCACGACTCCATCATTTGTCGGGCCGGGACAAGGATACAATTCACAAGCCCCAATATTAAAACCAGCAAATACCTCTGTTTCATCGTCTGCTCCTCTGAGCCTTACCGCACCACCACCTGCACTGGCTCCAATGATGGGCGGTTCTGGACCACCATTATTACACCCGTCCTTATTACATAACCTCGGTCTCATACCTCCAAATGGATCGAGTTCCACAAATAGTAATGATCGGATGGATCCCTTCAAACTTTCAGCAGGTAAGTTCACTGATGTCTCGTTTTTATATATGGTCACGATTACCGGTAGATTCCTCCCTGGCTTATGGTATGATATCGCTGAGAATGAATGATATGTAAATTAAGAGGAAACCTTTGTTTGGTTTCGTCTGTTAGCAGTTTCCATTTAGCGATGTGGCGTGTGCGTGTGATCGAATACACGTTCTTTATTCATTGGTAGAATTCAAGGACCAATCAACAGACGGCAAAAATCTACTAAGCACAAGCTGTGTACCTATATTCTGGAGTTCCGGAGAGCGGACAGTATGTAGTCCAAAGTCCTGTTGAAACCGTACCAAGGGTACTTTGATTGACTGTTTCTGAATCTAAATTCAACGTCTCCGGATTGCCAAACTCTGGTTGAATAAGCTGCAATGCTTGACATCAGCGACTACTGAAGGTTTTTGATGTAAATCATTAAGCCCAACCCATGCTGGACTTCCTGTCCACATCCTTTTCGTTCAACCGTAGGCGATCTGACACTTTGTGGTTGGCTAGCATGCGACCAAGCATCTATCACATCCAAAGTATGGGAGTGGGGATATTTTCTCATGAAGCTTCATTGTGTCAAAATCAGTGGATTGGTGAATGGCTCAGTAGCACCGCGGGTTCCTGGGTCCTGACCCGGGGGTGGCCGTTTCCCTATGACTACAAGTCTGAGCACCCGGCCCTTTGAGCATCCGTTGCAGGTGTCATACAGTAAACGCTCTTAATAAGGGGAATCTAGAAGGTGAAGCGAAATGCCTCCGAGTAGGGGTTATTCCTTCTTAAATGGATTCTGTACTGATACTTTGATCAACTACCTCATACTTCGGCATAAGACGGATTGTTCCTTATCAGCACCAGACAGGGCTCTAAGTAACTGAATGGAAGTGGACCTTTCCTGAGTTGGCGGATATTTCTTTTGTTTTGGTGCATATGATATAAGATAATTTGAATCTTATAAGCCAGTCATTGATGCTTACGAGGCCGCCTTAACTTTGCTGCTTTCTGCCCTGAGAGTGTGTGGAAAGTTGCAATAATGCTGAAGTAGGAATAGGAATAAAAGAGCCATTTCATTATCCATAGTTTTGGGGTTCCGTATTCACCCTAATGTATTCGAATCCTGCCGAACTCCAACTTTCGAAGGGGAATTCCTTAGCCTACCCTGGTCAGCATATCATAAGTAGGAGAATTTAATGCTCGTCAGCAGCATAGAGATCTCCCATGGTGACAAACTGATTGCTTTGATTTGAATGACTACACTACCAGTCAAACATACAAGCTCTAAACGTTTGGGATTATCGCACCCGCCCCCCCTCCCTGAATAACTTGACAGGCACTTCCACTATTGCTGACAATCTCTGACAGCAGAGATTGCATGACAATGAGATGTCATGTACACTCATGTACCCTTGAGTACACTCATTTGCCTATCAATTTGGTTTTTTACTGGAGACTCACCTGGAACCTGGCTGAATCTCTCGTTTATGATGTTTACCTTCAACTGAATGTACTTTTCCACGCCACCTCGTGCTACAGTTGCTACGATGTTCGATATACTGCAATACATTGTATAGGCGTAACACGCTTCTCGTAGGGTTGCTGAGTAACGTGTTGAGTGTATGGAATTTTCCCTAGTCATGACGTATGTTTACTGTGCGCAAGTCTGCCCATTGGTAAGAGTTGAAGTTTTGCATCATCTGTTACAAGATGAAAGGGCACTGATAACTCATCGTCCACTGAAGCAGTTTCCGCAGTCAAGCTCTGTTTGAGACCTACTTTTTTCACACTTAAGCAGACTGTAAGTAAGCAAACAAACTGGATAGTCGTGGTCTTCCCAAGTGCGCCAACTGTGGCAAATATCCTTATTGGAGACTTAGAGCAACAAGTGACGGGTACTATTTGTAACCCGCAGCGCATTTCGTGGCGAAATGTCGACGATACTTTCGTTGTCATACGATGTGAATTTCCCAGTGACCTTCTAATAGTGCCGTGAGTTTCACCTGTGAAAATTGAACTTCAAAGTGATCCTTGAGTTTCTTACCTTCTCTTGTCGCAGTCAAACAGTCGGGTTTATAGGTCTCTTTGTACCGAAAGTTAACCCACTCTGAAAGGTACATGTCATTCGGTGGATGTAAAGTGAAATATTGTGAACAGAGTAACGAAGATCTACTCTGAAGAAACCTCGAGAGCCAAGGAGATTAAGACTGTGGAAGAGGTGATGCACAAAAACACACCCAGTAGCTTTCACGGAGAAGGCTATACATAATTCACAAACGTGAACAAACCATCCGGAAGCAGGACCTTCATTTGAACTCAAGATGGCGAAATGACTAAGGTGTGAACTTATCAGGTAGCCCCTGGTTTGAACCCAAACTCTGTATGGCGACTGTTCCTGTCTAGGCTTGAACAACCCGACCCTCGTGCTGCCTGCGAATGGCGTAGAACCTGGTACCGAAAGTATGTTACGAGTAACACTGGCAAGCCTTCATCTCAGCTTTACGCATCCCCTATCGTCAGTAGACTTTCGAACTAATTCATGTGGTTTGGCTGAATTTCACATACATGGTACTCTCAATAGAAAAGCACCTGACCCATGCTAACAATCCGATTTCTCCAGGCAAGCAAACAGACTTTGTCCACGAGGTTTGCTGTGGGGTCTGCGCTATTCATTATAGGGACACTAGTGAGTAACCAAGAATGCGCCTTACTGAGTACCAGACATGTTCGATTTTCGCCACAGCCATGCATACCTCGGCAGAGAACCATGCGGCCTTGTTTGATCAGGCTCATCCAATTTAAACAGGACTTCCGATACATGCAGAACGATGCCCCTAACGCTTCACACCCAACCTGCATGTATCAACTGAAGCAGCGGTCTATCCATGTCGACTGTCATCAATAATCGGGCCAACCACTCGTACGATGCTTTGAATTCGGCGTCGAACCGAGGACAAGGGAGCGTCCATTTGACTACTCCAGTGATATCCTTGTAGAGGTAGCCATCAGCTTGAATTCTTTCTTTGTTTTTTTTGTAATTCTGGTTCTCCGACTTCTGAAGAAGGTCACCGCGGTGGCCTGAACTTCGAGCAACAAGCCTCGTCAAATTAACGTTTTTTCCCCACTACATTTCAACTAAGCGAAATATTCCGCACTACGCTTACTCTTTTGGACTTGATCTTGTCTAAATTGGTGTTGATATTATCAGATCCACTGCTCCTTTCCCTCCATCCACGTTAGGCGCATCTCTGTTTCAGTAAATGTTTACTTATCGCTTAGCTTTATTGGGCTACGGATACCCGAACAACCAAGCCTTCAAAGCTCAAAACAGCGCGTAGTTTGGGTAACGACTAGCAAGCAGGTGTCTCTGCCCACAATAGTCAAGTTGAATCACATTTCAAGGACAAAACTTCGAACAATAGATGTGGCGCGTAAGCAGGCAAACGCACGTGCTAGAAGAGTTCAATTTGTGTTTGATTTTCCGTCAGCTTTAGGTCAATAATTATGTTGTTTGTTCGACGAGAAAGTGACCAACCACGGTGGCCACAAATCAATGCCGATTCGATGAAATTAACTAGTCTTTTTGTTACGTGACTGACTACCTCCCAAACCTATTTAATAACTTGACACTTCCCGGTTCAAACCACCAACTCGGATGTTTGAAAAACCTACCTTTTACACAGTGATTTCTGGTTGATGATGTGAATAGAAAACCAGGTTTTTCAAAAGCTCAGTTGACTGACAACGCGAGTCTGTAGAAATATGTGGGCTCTATAGCCGATTTGCCCTATTGATTAGGAAACCCACCTGGCTAGGTTGGTTAACACTCTCCGGTAGGCTTCCCATGACAACCTTTACATGTCATGGGAAAGCTTTTTGCACGAAAAACAGGTCACGTATTTTTGCGAGGCTAGCATGTCCCGCTTGTGAAACAATCCGGTAGTATTCTTTTCCCGCATTTCTGATGCATCATTTTTGCTTACTGGATTGGTGTGAAGTTTAGCCCAGAAATCAATCCAATGACCACATGTCTTGCTTTCTTTGACGGGCAAACTTGTGTCTAGTGTACATGCACAGACTGAATTCTGCCAGGGCAACTTCACCTCTTCTGGTTTGTAAGCGGACGAAAAACTAGAGTCATTATCCTGCACTCAATGTTCGGACGATTTCTCGTTTCAGACAGCGAGAGAAAACATCAGTGGTTTTTGTGAGAACGAAAGATACAGCAATATATCAAGGAGAAACCGCTTCGAATGGGGACACTCTGCTAGAAAGTCTACAGGAACATTCTTCGTCCGTTTTGCTAGGGTTCCATCATCTTGAAATGATGTTACCCATAGGAAAAAATCATTCCTCTTTAGGTATAGGGCACCGCAGATTTTCCTAGCACGACCAAATCAGTCGTCATTTGATGTTCATTCGGTTGGTGTTCGCATCTTAAATACTGTTTATCAGAAAGGGACATCCCAAGATTTCTGGACGATGTCGAAGTATGTGGAAAAATTATTGTCAGTGTAGGGCTTAACACGCATGATCACCCAATCACTTGTCAATCCAGTTTTGGTGCTTATGCGGGGTGTTGTGCAACACGCATGAAATACAAGATTTGAGCTTATGTAAGCCAGACAGAGGCTACTGAAATTTTAGCCACATGCCTTTCGGTCAAGAGCTCCTATCTACCCGCTGTACTATCTAGGACTCGCGCGTCTTCAAGGGTTTTGACGGGTCGCAGATGTATTCTTCTTCGGTGGCACCGCAGCACTTCTCAGCAGTTCAATGAGTGTAGGAGTCCTCACAAAGAGGGATCAACATGCGGAAGTTACTCTCTCACTGGATAGGGGTATTTTACGAGCACTGCATTAGACATCCTGGATGACAGGGAACATTCGCTGTCCAGGAGAATGACATCTCATTCTGGGTGCGGCTTCTAGAGCGCAACGGAGCAAGTGTGACCTTTGTGGAAAAAACTCACCAGCTCTTATCTGGTCGGAAAGATTCAATCAGATTCTTTAAGATCGCATACAGTTTCCAACTCTGTGTTTTGGCCAGTCCCCGTGGAATGAATTTTTGAAGTTTCTACCACAGTAATTCCTATACCGATCAAATACAGTCACTAGTGTATATACGACGCGTGCTTCTTGCCTCTGAAACGCAAGTAAACATACCGCATCCCTGAGAAAGGCATGCAGAACGTCAAATAAATACTCTGTTATAGTAGGAAGATGCTAAGAAGTCAAACCTTGCAGGAACTGTTTGATGCAACTTCCTAAATGATCTAACTGATGCAAATTCTAGTCAGCATAACCATTCAAGTTTCTTTTGTTGCTACCTTGCACAGCCTACTTTATGCAGCAGGCAGTCGCGGCCGGCTCACAACTTTCTTCTGGTTTCGGGCAACCGTCGTCATGACCTGGACGGTTCGTGTCGGTTTTCACGCCACAATGTCTTTCAAAACCTGTTCATGTGACCCTGGTCCAACCTCGTTGTACGCCAGATTCTCTGCAACGCTGTCCTGATTGGCACATTGTTTCGGCACCATATCCTCCCGACAAACTTTCGTGGATCAGTTACACAGTAGCCGATTTCTCATGATATATTGTGCATCCTGTCGTTTTGTTCCGGATACATTGTTCCAGTCAGACCAGTGAATGTGACGGTCTGCTCTCTTCTGTTCCACGCTTGAAGTCCTTATTTACAAAGGCCTGTGTGTATGTGTGTGTACACAGTTATACTTGTCAGGAATACATACAGAAGTCGCCGATTCCCCCTCTTTGTTGGTGGCCCCCTTGAAATTCGGTATTTATCATAATCACATTCAGTTAAATCAAAAAGAGGTTGATGGTTTCATACTTGACTGTCCGCATTGGTAGAATGTGTTTTCTTTGGTACATGCACATATTCAAGTCTACCATAAACGCACGGTCAAGGACAACGAACCCTACGCGAAAGGCCAACCTCAACAAAAAGTCAATTCCCCGGCGCTTTACTGTGTGTTTAGTGTGCTCCAATCGCCAATCGCATTGTGACATGCCACCCCAGGTCTACGCTTCCGCCAACTTCATTTTGAGGCCGTTCCAAACTGCCTAACCAACACCATTGTAGCACACTGTGTACATGTAACCCTCCCTCGACAGCCGTCACACACGACCTGTTTATTTATGACTATTTCTTTATTTACCGATTGACTTAGCCCGGTAGTTTGAGCCTGTTGTGCAAAATATTTTCTTTTTTATACACCCAATGCAATTTAGTAATCGGTCCGTTCATCAGCTGACTTTTCTTTGCTCCTGGTGAACTCATCTGAATGGTTGTGCCTTATAAAATGTTAGGCGTTCAGAGCAACAAAGAACATTCAGTTGCCTGAGAACATCACAAACGAGAGATTCAGCTGGGTTCCAGGTGAGTCTCTCGAAAAAATCAAATTAGTTTGCGACTGAGTGTATATTCGCTAATTTCGTGCAATTTGGTTTCAAGTAGACCATAAATTTGAAGGAAACCCGGGGACTGCGCCTACCTGATGAGCCCCAAAAAGGGCGAAACCGATCGTGGGCTGTCGACGGATTTTCAGCAACCTTATGAGTAGTACATTACAAAGATAACTGTGAGGTGATTTGACAAATTGGTGTAAACTTCCCATCTTCCTGCGCCAATCTAACAATGGAACCTACAGACACACTCCCACAGGTGGTGGATTGCAAGTAGTATATATTTGACCAGTTCGTACAATTATCATTTATTTTTGAAGAGCATGGTCACAAACATAAGAAGTGAATGCAAGCTATGAATGCGAAGGAGTAACAGGAGAATATGGGAG